TGTAACGGTGGTAGACTCACAGGGAGAGAGGGGGGGGGGAGGGGCTCCAACAAGCCGTGTAGGACAGAGAGTGAATACACATACTATACAGAGATGCTGAGAAACCAATGTGATTTTGGAAAATTGCATAATATAATTATAATATACTATCCTAGTAGACCTCAACAATGGAATTGTGATCAGTAGAAATGGCCATGACATGCGACCTTTAATGAATTTTCCACATACTTAAACACTTTTTTTCGCATTTCTGTACATAATATAGTAGGACTTGGTTTTCAAATGGGGACACTTTACAACTCAATAAATAATAATGAAGTTATATTAAATGTGATTAGAGTCAAAGTCCCAGATTTGAGGAATCTAAAAGCAGAACCGATATAAAAATGATCTAAGAAGAGAAGTCTCTGGGAAAGTTTTTAAATGCCATTTTATAATGTGTATTTCTTAATGTTTTTCATTTTTGTAAAGCACTTTGATTTATAAAGCACCTTTCAACCTTTATACATAGTCTATGCTTTATAAATCAGTCAGACCCGCTGCGTATCGACAACAATAAATACACAACATCCCATTTTTTATTGTCAAAATCGTTGAAATATTTATTTAATTGAAAGACTTCATGTCAACTCAAACAAGACATTTTTAAAACCTTTAAAAAAAACATACTGGGGGGGGGACGACGACATACATCTCGCTGATTAAAGAAAGAAACAAACGGTGAAGAAAGTGCTTTTTTTTCTCGTGTTGAAACTAGAACATTCTCGTATTTCCTGCTAAACCTCTCTCCGCTCTCCACTTCCTGTTTTCAGTCTTTTATGTCCTGCCGTGACATCTCAGTTCGAGCCCTGATTGATCGGTCCGTGTAAAAAATAAGACGGACTTTTGACTTTTTCGATATTTACAATCGTAGCGGCTGCTCGCCTTCCTGCCGTCCCTCTGACGAGTTGCTGAGGATTCTTTATTTTAATGTTCCTAAATTAATCCTGCTCTGCATGTTGGTCTGTTTGAATGGAGGAGTTTCATTTTAGAGATGGCATTTGCTCCCTGATAAACACGACATATGAAGAGTTCTGATCCAAAAATATAATAATATCTGAAAAGTGACATTAGTATAATATTCCTCTGCCATCAAAACACATCTCTTCTTTGAAAACGGCACATATTTGTATTCTTATTTTACTTATAGAGGTGTTTTTAGTGATGTCACTGTGTTACGGAGTCAAAATAGAGGGAGAAGAATATTTCAATTTTTTCTCTGTGATGTTTTGGATTATAAATTCATACATAAAACATATTTTAAAATGTTTAAGATACAACGGCACTAGTTTTTTTGGGCTGGGCTGTAAACACTGGTATTTGTCATTTAAGGGCAAGGATGACTTTTCATATCTTTCCTACTTTTTATTGTAAAAAACTGAACTTCTAAAGACTTAATATAATACAAGAGTTGGTTCAGATTTCTTCATGTGGAATAAAACTCATAAATAGGTTTAATTTCACTGATTTAAACATTTCAGACCAACATGCAGTTCGACCTGTGTCTTTATTCTTTGAATCCCTAACGTTTAATATAATCTATAATTATATATATTTCTATTTCCCCGTCCATGAGTGTGTTTCCCTCCAGATAATACAATGCTTTTTAGGTGTTTTTTTGTAATAATAGCAAATATTCAAGAGCAAAACATTCTTGAATGTCTCATCGTAAACTTCTAAAAGAGAAACAAAATAAATTAAATCAGTTTCTTTTTGTACATACTTACATGATATGAAATGATGTGTTGTTGAACAGTAACTGGAGTTAAAGGCTGCAGCTGTTAGCTATTAGCACACTGACCTCCCGCTGAAACGGGACGGACGGTTCGGAAAATAATAAACAAAGTAACGTTTACAAAACAAACAAAAACAACAAGCTAGCATGAAACAAGCGTGTCGTACCTCATCGTAAAGTTCGCTGCGACCCGACCTTCGTATCAAAACATACCCCGCTCTCTGTGATTTGATAAAATATCATCTATGCCACAGATGTTTGTTTTTGTGTAAATATCAAAAAATAGCCTGACTTTTTTTTATGTTTAAAGAAAAAACAAACAAGCAAATACTTGAACCGAACGCAATTTAAAAACCAGAATCTTCGTTAGCGATTGTCCTCTTCTCCGCCTCCAGGATTGACACTTATTTCGGGTAAAAAAAGGAAAGAACTTTCTTGCTTTGAATGGAGTTTGCTGCACATTTTTGCATCCTTCAAAATAAAAGCACGGCCTGAGCGCTAATACAACACAACCACTGGATTTTTGGGAGCTAAGTTGGCAGCAGCACGTAGCGACGAATCAGCGTAAAAAAAAGTCTGACTCCGGTTTTTTATAGTTTCAGTCTCTGGGGCAGAACTTCTTTTTCCTTTCCTCCGCCTCCATGTTGTCCACCAGGGGGCGCTACATGTTGTACGCCACATATATGGGGTCCAGCTGGTCGGCTAGGAATCCGTCGCGGAGGTGCATTCGCTGCTTTTCGCCACGGGAGTTGATGGGGATGACGCCGATGTCCACGACCACGACAACGCCCACGATCAGGTAGTGCTCCTCCAGAACCACGTTGGTTACCAGGGGCACGAGATCCAGAGCCTCGTGCTCCGATCCGTCCAGCTCCACCACCACCACCAGCAGGTTGGTCCAGGTGAACACCGCGCTGAGGAGGGGAGAACAGGGAGAAGAAGTCAGTGGTATAAGAATAAGTCCTAAAACCCTAGGATTGAGTAGGAAGTCAATGTGTTTTCTGTTGTTAGGGTGGAATAAGGTCTGTGGTTAACACAAGCTGAAGAGATTTTTAAAATGCGTAACTAAAATACGTGAGTAAATACCCCACTGGTGAATTTAAAAACAGCGGTTGCTAACAAGTTTCTAAATGAGACAACTAAAAGTCATCACGCCCAACATTAGCCTCCTTTAGCTTAGCGGTGGTGACGTGAAGTCATGTGACCCGCTGTAGTTCCTTTATAGCCCAACATTAGCCACCTTTAGCTTAGCGGTGGTGAGGTGATGTGAATTTGAAAAGTGATAAAGTATTCTCGGGTGTTACTCACCACTCGGTGATGCTCTTGTGCGTCCGGATGACGGAGGTCTCGATGTCGATGGGATGGTAACGCATCCCTCTGAGCTCCATGGCCTCCTCCAGAGCCCCGACCACGTACAGAGCATCGTGTCGCTCTGCACACACACATTTATAGGTTATACATTTATTACCATGGTTTCTGACTTGAATTTCTTTAAAACCGGTCAGCTGAAGCTCATTTGCACTATGTACATCATCTTTTTATATATATCCTGCTTACTTGAAGTCAACGGTTATTTTGTGGGGTTTCATTTGTAATTATTGAGTGTTCTTGTATTTTAATGTGTTATTTTAGACCTCGGTACTTTGGGAAACAGTGTTTCGATCTTTCTGTGTGTACAAACATATTTTGAGATTGACAATAAAGTTGACTTTGACTTTTGACTGGAACTCTTTACCCGTCCATATCATTCAGGAACATTCTCATGTACAATTCAAAAGGTTGCTAAAAAATGTTCTCAGTATTATAAAGTAGAATTGAACTGTGCCTGTGGCTATTATGTACAATTATTAGTATTTTTTGTTTGGCCTTATGATGGATAAAAAGAGATGACCATTTTAGTTTTCACTTCATGTAGCATTGTACATTGCATGAAATGATGAGCTGTTTTGTTTAATGTATGTTTGACAGTGTGTGTGTGTGTGTGTGTGTGTGTGTGTGTGTGTGTGTGTGTGTGTGTGTGTGTGTGTGTGTGTGTGTGTGTGTGTGTGTGTGTGTGTGTGTGTGTGTGTGTTGTGTGTGGTGTGGTGTGTGTGTGTGGTGTGTGTGGTGGTTGGTGTTGTAGGTGTGTGTGTGTGTGTGTGTGTGAGGACCCCAGGAAGAATAGTCAATGCTCATGCTAGTGCTAATGGGGATCCTAATAAAGAATGAGAACAAGTCCCCCTCCTCACCCCCGCTGGCGTCCGTCAGCTCGGTGCGCCGCAGGAACCCCAGATACCCGGTTCGAGCCCAGAGGGTCTGCGTGTCTCCGAAGCTCAGCCTGGAGTTGAAGTGGTCGGACTGCAGCGCCTCGTCTCCGTACACCGTGAAGTACCCGCTGGAGTTATGGCCGCTCTGCACCCAGATCTGGAGACAGAGGGTCAGAGCAGGGGAGGTATTTAAAACGTTTATTTAATTATCTAATTTCATGTTATATTATGTTATGTTTTATTTTGTTTTATTTTATTCATAATTTCTTTCTTTATTAAGCATATATATATAAATATTTACATATGTTTTTGGTTTATTGCATCAATGATCATAATCACCTTATACTGTATATAATATGATATGTATTAAATTGGCTTTTTTGCTTACCCAATACTTTTGGTACTTTAAGTATATTTTGATGCCAATATGCAGGATTTTTACTCAGAATTTACAAGGGGGAAATTATTACTTCTTTATTTAACATTTTTGCACACGTACCTCTCCCAGGTGCGACTCTCCCATTGGTCCTTTGGTCTCTGGGTTGGCGATGATGATCCGGACCCCCGGCAGGATCTGATCAGAGAACAAACATTAATATTTAAAACATTCAAACATTTTAAATACAGAAAATAAAAAACAACTCACCTTCCCAGACTCCATGAGAGGAAGGCTGTGAGGAGACCCCCGCTCCACCAGTCTGACCCTGAGGAGGGGACAACAAGGAGAGGACTCTTTAAAGTAGAGACACTACATACTGATATACACCTGAACATCAGCAGGAGAGGACTCCTTTAAAGTAGAGACACTACATACTGATATACACCTGAACATCAGCAGGAGAGGACTCTTTAAAGTAGAGATTCTACAGACTGATATACACCTGAACATCAGCAGGAGAGGACTCTTTAAAGTAGAGACACTACATACTGATATACACCTGACCATCAGCAGGAGAGGACTCTTTAAAGTAGAGACACTACATACTGATATACACCTGACCATCAGCAGGAGAGGACTCTTTAAAGTAGAGATACTACATACTGATATACACCTGAACATCAGCAGGAGAGGACTCTTTAAAGTAGAGACACTACATACTGATATACACCTGAACATCAGCAGGAGAGGACTCTTTAAAGNCTAGCACCCTCCAGCGCGTCACAGTTTTGCCGCTGAGAGAGTGTGTGTGAAGCGAGTAAAAATCTAGCAAATGGAGTCGGACCAATCCGTGGAGCTCCTCTCACACACACTCTCTCAGCGGCAAAACTGTGACGCGCTGGAGGGTGCTAGTGGAGCCTCGCAGATGGGGGTGCTGCAGCAACCCCCCTTCCTGCGTCCATGGTGCTCAGGCTGAGTTTCGCGGTGTCTCGCAGACCCCACGCAGCAGCCAGGAAACAACACCAGTAACCCAGCTCACACTGTCCGCTCCTCGAGCCTCAAAGGGCGGAGCAGCGAGCCCCGCAACGTCCCGCCAACATTACTGGTGTCATTTTTTTGGTTGCTAACAAACGCCATTGTAACAGAAACACTGCTGTTCCGCTGTAACGGTGGTAGACTCACAGGGAGAGAGGGGGGGGGGAGGGGNAGCAGCGGATTTGCATGTTTCTGGTCGTTTGTTCCAGATATTTGGAGCATAATAACTGAACAATGCTTTTCCATGTTTAGTTCTGACTCTGTTCTGTCCCCAGAGTCAGAACTAAACATGGAAAAGCATTGTTCAGTTATTATGCTCCAAATATCTGGAACAAACGACCAGAAACATGCAAATCCGCTGCTTTTAATTGAACTATTCATATCTTATTATTATTATCTTTGATTTTTAATGACTGTTTTTAAATTCTATTTTCTTAATGTCTTTCATTTTTGTAAAGCACTTTGAATTGCCTTGTGTTGAAAGATGCTATATAAATAAGCTTGCCTTGCCTTGCCTATGAAAGTGGTGATCATTTGTTGAGTTACAAGTTCTGAAATGTTGTTTTGATTTTCAAAAAAGATACATTTGCGAAACATAAACCCTTATTTTGTGCGAAGCCAGGTTTGTTTTGTTTTATTCTGTTGTCATATTAGTGTTAAAGATTTTTACAGAGGAACTTTTAGATTGTTGTATTACTCAAGTGAAAACAGTGTTGGCCCTTACTTTTAGAGGTTAATAAAAGCACAAATAATCACAGCACATCAGACAAGGATAAAAGCTTGCTGGATGAAGATTTGTTCAATGCCTGAAGGAAAATAGGCTCACTGCGGGACACAAAGTTGGATCAACATAAAAAATAAATAACATTCAAAGGACTAAAGAAACTATTTCTTGCTGAAGGTCCTATTCTGATCGAGTACAGAGAAGAACATTTAATTATTGTCAACCCATGCTGCACATTTATGTGTGATGTGTGTATCTGTATGCAGCTGGGGGAAAAAAGAACTCTGAAATAAATAAATTACTGGTGAATCACATTGAGTTTAATGCCAGTCACAGCATGACCGTAAGCTCATTTCCTGTGCTACATTACTTTTTTTCATTATTTGATCAGTGAAGCCCTCTGAGACAAATATGATTTGTGATATTGGGCTATATAAATAAACTTGAATTGAATTGAATTGAATTATCTGTATACATAGCTAAAATTACATAGTGACACACTAAAGGAGATATTTTTCTTATGTGAATTTGAGAAGAGCCCTATTTAAGTATATGATTGATATCATCTTCACAGAAGTAATTATTTTACCCTGAAGAAATCCCACCAAATCAATGTGGAAAAAGTATTCATATATTTTACTTCAGAAAAATTACCAATATCGTACTGTATTTTTTATTAAAGAAGACATATAATGCTCATTCTCAGGATCATATTTGTATTTAGTGCCTCTACTGAGCCCAGTCTGCTCTGATTGGTTAGCCGGCCGGCTCTGTTGTGATGGCTTTACATTGTTATTATGGACAATTGATTTGGAAATTACATTCAATTTCAGTCCAAACACTTTGAAGAAAGAGAATATGAACATAGAGAAAGGTTAGAAACTATTTGGGGGGGAAATAACAGTACAATAAAGAGAATTGTCTTAGTTAGGTATACTAAATGTATCCTTCCATAATCCATTAATCAAACAAACTTTGACAAAGCTGTTTTTTCCCCGCCATCGATTTACAGTAAATCCCTTAAATCGTTTTTTACACTTACACTTACCAAAAGACAACTTGAATGGTATTGAAAGGTGAGTTCACATAATGGAAATCTACATAAGTGGAGCTTAACTTTACAAGCCACTTTTGGACTGCAGGAGTTTTTTTTGGAAAAAGAATGAGAAATTGGTGCCGAGCCAAAGTATAAAACAGAGGAGCCACTGGAGGCCTCTGACAACTGCTTTAAGCAACACAGAGCTGAGTGTTATAATGGAAACTCATGATGAATAAAATGCATCCGGAAAATAAGAAAAGTGGGTCTTTGGGAATGTTTATTTTCTTAAATTTAACATTTTCTATGACGTGAAGGGCGGCTTTATTTCCTTAATATTTGACACACGTAATTGGAAAAAAATCATCTTTACTTCCTCTTCCATAAGAATACAAAATCTATGACTAAAGCCCAGAAACTGACTTTGTTTCATGTTATTCCTTCTCTTTTTCTTTTCATTTCCTGTAATCTCTTAAATGCCAACTTTAAAAATAAAGGTCAAAACATGCCCATTGAAAATACTTTAAATACACCCTCCATCCAACTCATTATATTACTGTCATATAAAGCAATATAAAAGAAGACTCTAAAGTGGTCTTTTTTTATTTGATTGAAAACAAAAGTATTATCTCCATTTTCAGTTTCAAATGGATTTTTTTATAGTGGCTAGCCTGAATTAAGCATAATGTGTTTACACTACATGTATAAAGATAAAGGAGATCGAGTTATTCACACACCTTTTGTAAACACGCAGGATCATTACTTTTTATAATCCATGCCCATCCCACTCCTGGATGAGTTGGCATGGGAGAGGACAGCTTTGAATGTCAGGAGGTGGAAACATAATGTGCAACAAAAGAGGTGGAGCTCTGTTAAACGCTGGATTCTGGGCACCTATACTTCACTGGTAGAAAAAATGAGTCAGTGTGCGAATACATATTTGTGGTACGAGTGGTGATTAATAGGGTCGCCAGTGGTCCTTGAAGTTTGACGAGCGGTGTGCAAAACAAAGAGCTGCAGTCATGGTAACGGCGTTGCCAAGGGAACAAACCCAGCACAGCCATCCAAACTAAAATACTCAATTATAGGACAAGTGCTTCAACTAGTTTAATTTTGATTGGTAAAGGTACAAAAATAACCTGCTCCTATAAATATCTCTTTGTGTCCACTTGAAAATAGAATCATAAATACGTAATCTGATAAAAGGTGATAAAAGAACACACATGAGAGTAGAACAACATCTGGTGTGTATTATTTCATCACATGACACCCTGTGAAGACAGCATGGACTTGAGCCACGCACAGCAAATAGTAGTGACTCACCTCTGTGATGTAAAGGCACACGTGTTTGCTATTAGTTTACATTTCCAGGGAAAAAAGAAGTAGAGCCTGGAGTGATGACTTTTCACTAAGGTTCCTGTGTTGCCGTCCTTTTGTTTCCTCATACAGATCGGATCACATGGAACATACACCCTAAATTGCGTACAGGTATGCATGTGGGAGGATGTGGCGCGGTATTTATGGGTATTTCAATCTCTTACCCAATTTAGTCTGGAATAGGTTGACAGAAAGACTGAAAAACTGATTCATTTTAAAGCTGCATTCACATGATACGCTCTTTAATGACAGCGAAGTAGGGCGCAGAGCCTTGCGTAAAAAACAACCAGCTAGTTTTAGTTTTTTTCTATGGTAACCTCCCCTGCTACCTTGCACTGCTTAGCATAGCTGTTATCTGATTGGTTGTGGGTCAAAACGTCAGTGGTGATCGAGATTAAAGTTGAAAAATGTGAACTGCCAATGCAGCGCTAAGCAACAATTTAAAATAGTGCGCTAACCGAGGGTAGCACTTCAGCCTAGTGTCTTCCCCCTCTTCATACTAACGCAACAGCAACATCAGCACAGAGCCATTTTACAACGTGTCAAAGCGACTTAAAGTGGACCTATTATGCTATATTGGAAAAATATATTGTAGGGCCATACCTATACAAAACATGTCTGTGAAGTTTGTTGCTTAAAATACCAAACAGTTCACCCATTGTAGCCATGCCTCATACTGCTCAAGCTCCTCTTTTGCAGGTCTGTTGCAAACAGGCTGATTCTGCTGCTAGCCACGCCCCTTTGTAGCGTCACGCAGCTTTCCCCTGCTACCGGGAGAAGCTCAGCTAAACGCTGAGGTGATTAAATGCCATGTTATGCTCCTAACCACTAACTATAATTACCGCTTCTTGGTTGTATGCCCCCGACACCCAGACAAGCTGCAGTTTACATCTGTGTCTTTCCAAAAGGTCATAACTTTTTCCTTGTAACCTATCTGTGTGAATTTTGAAATATTGACATATGAATTATCAAGTCATAGCCCAAAAGCATCACAGTGACCTTCGACCACTTAAATCTAGTCAGGTCATCTAAAAGTCCAATTGGACATTTTAGCTAGATATAATGAAATTCCCTCCAGGTGTTCCAGAAAATGTGGGTTTATGTACATGGTTCAACAGGGGGAACAGTGACCTTGACCTTTGACCTTTGACAA